ATATTTTTTGTACTTCAGTATTAAAAGTAAAAGTATTGATTTGAAATGAGCAGTTAGATTTTCTGTAAGGACATTTATTAGGAGGTGACCTCCCCAAAAACTGCAGAAATGACTTTATTGTATTAAAATAATTAATTAATGTCAAATTTAGGATGCACTAGTCCAGCTGTTTCAGTTTATATACATACTGTATATCAAGGCTGCACAAAGCTTTTCCCCAAAATGAAAATCTATCTGAGGGCTGCGGCCAAATGTAATAATATAATTCATGAAATACAAATACTTCTTAAGTACAGTCCTTTGATTTGAAKGATTMTRTCCTGCTGGAGTGTGACATGATTTGTTTGTGTACAAACTAATACGCTATCAGAGTTTTATATATTTATACTTCTCATTCAACCACAGTTAAATTCACTCTATCTACGAGGCTCAGTTTATATGGATAGTATTTATTTTTACAACAACAAGCTGGAATAAAAACAATCAAAACAGAAATAAAAGTAATGACTTTCTATTTCTTGCTTTTTAAAAAAATATAAGTAGAAGTAAAAAGTAGGCTGAAAAATAATAAGTAAAGTACAGATACCCAAAAATTCTACTAAAGTACAGTAAAGAAGTATTTGTATTTAGTTACTTTACAACTCTGCTCAACATAAACGTCTTAGCTGAAATGTTAAAGTTAAATATTAAAATTGAGTCTCATCTTCAGAGTGAAGCAAAGCTAGAAACCTGAGGATTATTCAAAACTTCAGGATATTTTTGTTTAAGATAATGTTTTTTTTTAGTCRACATTATCTTAGGAAAGAGTGTTAATGTGGATTAAAACAGAAAGGCCACATCTATAAGAACAAGGATTCTTGTTACTGGCTATAACAATTTAAAAAAAGGCTTCAGAAACAACAAAACAAAAACTGATCTCTGCTCAGGCTCTGGGCAGGAAATAAGTGCAGAGAAATGCATCATGCACGTCCCAATAAAGTCAAGAAAAACTAATTTGGGCCATTAAAAAAATAAAAATACAGCTGGAACGACGATTTCAATTATCCAACTGAAAAAGCAGAATTGTGAAAAATTACAATTTTTTTTAAAATTAAAGTTATTTTTGCAACCTGAAAATTGCAAAGTTTCAAACGCCTTACACCAGAAAAAGGTAATTATATCTCAACTGTCAACATAACCAGCAGCTTGTTTTGATTAGAAAATAAAGAAATAAAATAAGTTTAAATAAAAATTTAAAACAGCATTTTTTATTGCATCATTGCTTCCTGTCTTCGAATTTCTGCAAAGAAAAATCTGCTGTATTATCTGTAAATCTGTTTGTATTACAGGTCACAGTTTTCACCTTAGGAGAGTTGACCTTTGACCTTTGAGCTGAAAACAATGTTCGATATTTACAATAATTAGGAGGGATGTAGGGCAGTAATTTAATGATGTGATGCAAAGATTTAAGCTTCAAGACAAGCATGCAACAAGCTCAATTTCAAAAATAAAAAAATAATAAAGAAAAACTTAGTGGTTTTATCTGCGAGTGTCCAGCTCCGGGATATACAGCGGGTAAAATAAGTATTGAACTCGTCACCATTTTTCTCAGTAAATATATTACTAGAGGTGCTAATG